AGATTGCATTTCTGCCTCTGGAAAATTAACTTGTCATCTATCCATAAACATAACTAAGTACATGATTCTCTAGTAGTTCGCTGTGACCCACTCCATGTGACTTGGCCTTTGCAGGAACCTTTACTGTCACCCCTCCATGGGGCTTGAGAACACATCAACAGGTAGCAGTAGAGCCAGCAGCTACTGTGAACCTGATCCCTTTGAATTTGACTCATTTGGTAATTGTTGATTCAAGTCAGTGTTTCTCAACTGGAGGTGATTTTGACCTTGGGTGACATTTGATAATGTCTGAGGCATTTTCAATTGTCACAGCTGGGGGAGGGGTGCCACTGACATCTAGTGTGTAGAAGCCAGGGATTTGGTTAAATACAATACATAGAACAGGCTCTACAGCAAAGAATTGGCAGGCCCCAAATACCAGTTGTATGGAGGCTGAGAAAGCCTAAGATGAGGATTTGGTATGACTGGTGCCGGGCAGGTGCTGAGCGATAGGCCTAGGCATATGCAGTCAGGGTATTCAAGCAGTCACTCTAGGCCTAACTTGAGACATGGTTCTAGTGGCAAAGGCTAAGAAATAATAATAATAAAAAAATTAAATGAAAGATTTCCATCACTATACCTGCTTTAAGTATGGAGTTCAGCCTTGATATATGTGGGTAGAAAAAGCAAGGGATATTTCCAATGCAGTGTAGAAACAGCTCTTGTCTGAAAAGACAGGAAATGAGGGAGGATCCTGTCCCTGGAGGTGACATTGCCTTTACGTTCATTGCATTAATAAGGCCCTGCATCGAAGACACTGGCATGTACTTTATACTCTCTACTTCAGAATGTTGTCTGGCCAGATTTGAGTTTAATTTTCATACTTGCTGGTGAAACCAAGATTATTGGAAAGAGGCATTCAGCATATTGATTTTATTATACATTAGGAGAAGGGACATTTATTTCTAACAGGAAATGGCTGTGTTAACTACTGTAATGGCTTCCTTCACCATTGGGAATTTTGCTGTTATTAGAGACCACTAATTGTGACTTGAGTTTGTTAAAGCATAAGAAAGATATAGAGCATAACTATAGTGGGGAGAATATAAATCACATGTCATCTTACTGCCATTGTAAGAATTTCTCTTAGAATTTCTTGTGACTAGGTCATGTCATGATGGGCCACAGAAGTTGGGACACAAGGATACAAAATGGTACAGCAGTCTGGCAAAGTCAAATCAAAAGCACAGAACAAAACAGCAGTTATCAGGGCTTGGGGAAGATTGGAGAGATTTTGGTCAAAGGATACCAAATTTCAGTTCTAAGAGGAATATGGTCCAAAGATCTATTATACTACATAGTGATTATAATTAATAACAATGGATTGAATCCTTAAAAATCCTTGAGACTAGCTTCTAAGTGATTTCACCACAAAAAAAGACATGTAAGCTAATGCATATATTAATTAGTTCAATTTAGTCATTTTACTATGTATATATATTGTAAAACATCATATACACTATAAGTATACACAATTTTGGTTATTTAAATATTATGGGGGGGTTGGTTCCAGTGGGGGGTAGGAGGGGAAATGCTGAAGGATGGTGAATATGTTACAAGTACTGTGTACACATGTATTTCAGTGGAAAAAGATACCTGTTGAAACTGTTCCAGGACTGGGGAAAGAGGGTGAATTAAAGCATAATATATTTGATATATTGTAAGAACTTTTGTGAATGCCACAATGTACCCCTACCTAGCACAACAATTAAAAAAAAAAAAAAGAGGTTTACTTTATAATGTGCTCTCTGCCATTGCCATCTGGTACCATCACTGGAGGCCCAAAGCAATGAAGCTTTCCTGTCTTGGATTGGAACTCCCAGAACCATGACCTAAATAAAACTTTTCTCTTTATGAAAAGAAAATGAATTTTAAAAAGATAATAAATATGGTTCACATATTTTTCCATAGATAATGTAACACCTTACATTTCAGTGCTTTTGATGAAAATGGGTATAGAATAATAGAGAATGTGGGAATGTAGTGGACAACTCAGAACCTTGCACTAAAAATAATTTAAAATAAATAAGGAGTCAGAGGCAGGACACGTGATGCCTGGGCTCCACAAAGCTCAGCACTCACAAGCCTTGGTGCTGTAAGCAGGGTCCTTAAATCACTGTGCACCCCAATTTCCTCATCTGTAAAATGGGCATAACAACAAATCTCATAGGGTTATTATTAAGGGTGAATGTTATTATGTGTCAGACCCCTCGAGTGGAACCACTCAATCATTGTAAGCTCTGAATTTATTGTTTTTGTTGTTGTATCGTTGGCTCTCAGATGTCAGGAACTTAAGTTTGGTGAAATTAAAAAATAACCATAATGCCATCTCATCTCTATTTTGTTTCTACACTTAGGTAATAAAGTAAACTGATTTGATTATAAAGTGGTTTTACAAAAATCTCCTTTTTTTTCTTTTATAAAATTGGAGAACAGGAGGGCAGTACAGGCCCTGTCTGGAGGAGGGTAGATACCAGGAGGAGGGGGAGGATGTGGGGAAAGGGTGTAAGAGGGTGAGGATGGTGCAATGCTATGTATGTAAATGGAAAAATGAGACCAGTTGAACCTATTCCAGGAATGGTGAGAGGGGAGATAAGGGGGAATGATGGAGAGGGTGAATTCAATTATGATACGTTGTAAGAACCTCTGTAAATGTCCCAGTGTACACACAGCACGTCAATAAAAAAGACTGAGGTACAGGCATGTGCCACGTACAGTGTTTATGTAGACAACAGACCACGTTACAATGGCAGTCCGGTAAGGTTACATTGCCTCCTAACATCGTAGCCATTTGAGCGCGGAGCACACTCTGCTGTTTACACAGCAAAGTTGCCTCGCCTGTGAACCCACATCTTCGAGCGGGTTCCCATCCTTCAGAGATTCATGACTGTATTTCTAAACCCAAACAAGTCCTTATCACTTTGTTTCTGTTAGATAATAGCCAAGCAAGCTTTCTGTTTTTCCCTCATAGTCAGAAGCATTGTCCTGTAATTTAAACTTGAATTCAGGGAACTTTATTAGCCTAAAGTTAACCGAATCCCAGAGAGGCCTGGAAACATGACTGTGAAATGTTACGGATGCTAAATTGGGTACATTGCAAACAAAGGTGAAAGGTTATTGTTTATGGTTAGTAGTAAACCCTGACATTCCAATGGAGGAACAAAAAGATGATTACTTTGAATCAAATGATTGTTTTATTTATTTATTTATTTATTTTTAGATTCTGAGTTCTGAACTGAGGGCCTTGGGCTTGCAGGCAGGTGCTCTGCTACTTAAACCAGGCAGCCAGGCCTGTTTGCCCTTTCAGTTATTTTTCAGGTAGGAGCTCACATTTTCTGGCCAAGGCCAGACTGGATCATGATCCTCCTACCTACACCTCCCATGTATCTGAGATTACAGACATGCCCCACCATACCTGGCTTTTTTATGTGTTTAGATGGGGTTTTTTTATGTGGACTGGCCTCAAACTGCCATTCTTTTGGTCTCCATCTCCCAAGAAGCTGAGATTAAAAGTGTGAGCCACCACACCAAGCAGTTCTAGGATTTGAACTCCAGGCCTCATGCTTGCTAGTCAAGTGCTCTACCACTTGAGCCTTGCCTTCGGTACTAGGATTTGTTTTATAGATAATATAATGAGTTAATTACAAGAGCTAACCTCTCATGGATTTATTAAATTAAGTAATAGTTTCATTTCTTTGAACAACCTATTGTCAAAATCTCTGTAGCTAACTTCATTTACAATGAAGTTAAGTAAATGAAGTATTTCTTTAAAAGTGAGACATAGGTTCTCTCTGTTTGAGGCTAGATATGTCATGTCAGTGGATCTGGCTATGGTCAGACCCCTTAATCCTGTCTTAATTATGGGCTGTTTGCTACTTCTGATTGTATAGTTATTTGTGACTGGCATTCAGACACTCATAGTAATTTTTTAAAACATGTAATTTTACATAGGGTCCCCTCAAAGTGACCTTCAGATGAGAGTCTCTGGACACAATTACAGAGAGGAAGGAACTCCTGGCCTAGAATGAGTTGATGGTTTCCAGGAATATCTCATTTTCAAATTTTCCAGTTAAGCACGGTGGCAGCCTCACATTTCTGCCAGCTTGAGCAGGCGCAGGAGGCAGACACATGATTATCACATGTGCCACACGTGCCTGGTCCCACTACCGTCTATCTGGAAACGCTGGAGGCCAGATATGATTACCACATACGTCTCCCTGGAGATCTGTGCCCTCAATCTGCCTTTTGCCACCATACTCTTTCTTGAGAACAGTTTGCTTGTAGCTAGGTGTCATTTATCAAAGAGGACATGAATATTTATTGTTTGTTAAGGTCTAAAAACTGATCGGCAGTGGGTTCTACTACCCAAAGACTTAAGCTTAAAGCATGGGTTTTAACAAAGTGAAATTGAATTCCAAAATATTTCCTTAACTTTAAAATAACATTTTTCAGTTCTTTGTGTTCTATTGACAATCTTTTCCAATAGTATCTCTTCCTTGGTAAGTACTATGGCTTAAATTATATAAATGAAATGTTCCCCCCAAATTTTAACACATTTCTATGCTAAACTCTCTTCTTCATTTGCAAAGTGAAGACACTGAGACTATATTATCTATAAGATATCTTCTGATACCTGACATTCCCTACATCTAATGTTTATTCTCTTTCATTTTTGAAAATATTCTGCTGAATTTCCAAATGCTTAAGAGTGTTTCAAGCTACATGACTTGGCCTCACCAAATGTTCCTCTCTGTTGACCATCACCACATATCAACCCCTGGGCACTTTCCTGCTTGGTAGATGTGGAGCCCTTATATAGAGAGCAGACCAGCCTGGGTCTGATTACAACTGCTAGAGGTCCAGCCTGTTATGACTGATTACATCTGTGTTTGGTCATCTGAGAGTGTGAACTATTAATCTGCTTCCCCTCCTTACTCTTTTCACATGCATTTTCCAAACAGAAAGGAGAACCTGACTGCTACACACTGTCCCTAGAGACAAGCGAGCAGCTCACCTTCGAGATCCCCCTGAATGATTCAGGCTCTGCTGGCCTAGGGGTGAGCTTGAAAGGGAACAAATCCCGAGAAACTGGAATGGACTTGGGGATTTTTATCAAATCCATCATCCATGGAGGTGCTGCTTTTAAGGTGAGTAGACAATGTTTGCATGCCCATGAGAAGGTACTTGGGGATGTGTCTGGATACTTGGGGTCTGGCGGGAGATGGTATCTGAGGGCCTGGGACCATTGAGGCTTTTCTGCCAGATGCAGAAGATGTGTGTGTGAACAGATCTGGGGACCACTTGCTGCTTTCATATCTGGAGTAGTTATTTTTCCTTCCTAGAGATAGTTCTAAAAACTATTAACATTCTTTTTGCATCCTTTTTATTACTCCATTAAGATTGCTCTGAATCTGTAATCTCACAGAGTTGAACCTGAAAATACACAATCAGAAAAAACAAAACTAAAAACAAGCTGACATAAAGGCAACAAAAGAGGAAATTGTGCTTGTAAGAATGAAAGCTCAGTGGAGCCTGAGAATGACTGTAGTATAAATTAAAGGTCATTTATCACATTTTGTGCACTTGAAGATAACCACAGTGCCCAGAATGCACATTTGCTTCTGAACACTCAGAGAATCTTATGCATTTCAGAAAAAAGAAGAGCTTGTGTCCCTGCCCTTTCACATTGGGGTGGGCCATGTGACCATAGCTATTAACATGGTGTAACGGTTAACTAGATTGCCTGTGTTCAAATCCAGCTCACTGCTTGCTACCAATGTGAAACTATGGGCAAGGAAATTGACCAGCTATCAATTTCTCATCTGAAAGTGAGGATAATACTGATTTCACAGGATTCTAGGGATTAAGAAATTGTCACCTAATATGGTGAGAGGGGTGAAGTGATTATAGCAGGGGACACATTTGTACCCCTTGTTGCCATCTCATGCTGGGAAGTAAGGTTCTCAAATTTGAATCCCGCCTTCATTACTCTCTCCCTCTGTGAATGTAGGCCAATCTCTCTTCCTCAACATGTCTCAGTTCCTAATTTGTGAAGTGAGTAAAATTTTAGTCCCTTCCTCCGAGTACTATTAAGACTAAAGAGACAATACACGTAAAGTGCTTAGCTTAGCAAATGTTAGCTATTTAAAATTATCTTAATATTGACAATGTGTACCTTTTGCCATGCCCCAATTAAGAAAGCCTAGTTAGACATTGAAGAAATGCCTTGGTCTTAGAATTCTGACTTTGGTGAAACAGTTGTCTTCTTACATTTACCCAGCCACTGTTGTTTCAACCTAGACGCTAAGTTAATGTGTCTTTCCTTGGGAAATGAGAAGTGCAATGTGCATAAACAACTCTTTAATTTACTCCTTGGATCAGTTAGCTTTTGTTACATAATAAATAATCATAAAATTTTAGTAATATACACTAACTTTTGTTTCCCCCGTGGGTCTGCAGGGCAGCTAGTAGTGGTGGTGGTGGCTCTGGTTCAGGCTGGTTTGTGTCTTCATCACACTGTAGGGGTATAAGCCCGAGTGTACTCCACAGATTTTGCCTACTTCTAGACCCGCAGACTAGCTGAGGTGTCAGAGAGCCAGCAACAATGGGAGAAGCCACACAACATTTGGGTTCTGGGCTCTGAAGGAACACATTGTCACTACACACACACACACACACACACACAATTGGCCAGAGCAAGTCATAGGGCTGAATCCAAGGTCATGCATCTCTCCCTACAACGAAAACTGTGGTAGAGAGAAGTTGCAGAATTAAGGCTTATCAATCTATAAAATTCCCCAACATGGCTCAGGAATCCACACCAAGAACAGAAGGAAAATAGTACTAATAATCGCAATGTCAACAGCTATTAACATTTATTTAACAGTTCTTAGTATATGCTGGGCACCAAGCTAAAAGTTTTATATGGATTCTCTAATTTTATTTTCATATGCACATTTTATTATTATGTCATTTTATCAAAGAAGAAATTGTACAGGACAGTGATTATAGCCTCTGCTGTGGTTCGATACCTAGGAATTATTTGAACTAAAGCTCAGAAAGATGAATGTTACTTTTTTCTCTCATATGTGGAATCTAGACAAAAAGTAATAGTACATTATTGTGAAAGGGGTTCCGTTAGAGGGGAATCCACTGGGAGAGGGGAGAGAAAAGGGGGAGTGTGATAGGGAATGAACAAGATTAAAGTCCATTATATAGATGCTATAGATACATGAAAATAGCACAGTGAAACCCACTAAAAACTGTTTAAAAGAAGGAGAAAGAAGAGATTAAGAAAGTAATAGAGGGCTGAATTTGATCAAAGTACATGATAGGTGTGTATGTAAACATTACAATGAAACCCTTTTCTATAGTTTATACTATTTAAGAAAGATTAACAAAGGAAAATATCAGCATCTAGAGCCTGTGCTAAAATCAGCCCAGAGGTACTCTGTAAGGAGGGCTCCCTCCCACCATCTGTTTGTGCTCCTAGAGAACAGAGGCTGTCAGCTGGAGTGGCTTTGTATCATGGTCACTCCTCATAGCCAAGCCTTCTAAACATGTACTGTATATAAGGGTTGAATCTACAGTCATGGTTGTGGGTACCAGCTGGATATTATTCTCCCTATTCCTAATGACAACTCTATTTGCAGAATTTATTCCAAGTAAAATTGAAACTGAGATGACTTTTTGGAAATTAAAAGCAAACATCTTTGCTTTTTTATGGGCAATAACTTAAGCTCCAGCAGATATTGGCGGGTGGTTTAACGTGTATATCTGTGTTTGTGTAAGTGAGTGTCTCCTTACCTAAGCAGTTTTTAACAGTCCTGTTTCTTGCAGAAAGATTTCACTTTCCATTTATGTAAATTTCTTCCCTGACACCAGTCTGCTGAGTCAGACAATCACACCATTAAAAACCACTGGACAGCATATTTATAGTGGATCTTAAACAGTAAGAGCATCAATCATGAATTCAGCCTTGTTGTGAATGTTTAGTATCTATTTGTCTTGTTTACCTAGAGGCCTGAGCTTTGCTCACAAGAAACCTGATTAACAGGGGGGAAAAGTGTATTTTTCTGTTCGCTTTCTGCTAGCCCAATAATCCACCGTTCCTCGGCAGAAAATTGCCACCTGTTCTTTGCTTCTGGATTATGTCCTACAAAAATTGTGTTGAGACTTTGTTCCTGTCCCTGTCGAGGAAATACAAATGTGACAGAGCGCAGCATCCCCGGGGCTGAGGGGAGAGAAGCCCTGGGAGCATCCATGTTAGCATCTGGCCTAGGCTTTTACCCTAAATCAACAAAATCATCTTTCTACCAGAGTGCAATCTTTTTCTCCTGGCCCTTCGTACCACTAATTGGTTCTCAAGGTGTTTTTCCCTTAAGGGAATGTGGATTGTTGAAAACCAAACAACTTTGAAAAGTATGACCAAATTCTTCCTGTGGATTTTGTGTGCTGTATTCTCTAGGGGCTTCCATTGGTATAAACAAGGACAGACTACCTGTCAGATTTAAAACCCCTGAATGACTGTGACTCTAACTGAGGGTCTCTTTTTTGTTTTTTTTCCCTAACCTTGTGGGCTACTGCTTTCCATCATTTCCCCTCTCACTGGGTTACTTCTAATGGAGATGTAAATCTCTATTTGCAATTTAGAGCTTCCAAATACTCTAGGTCACATCAGAGTTTTACACTCTTCAGAATTACCCATATGCGTATCAGTTCTTAATAGTTAACCTGCAGTTTGTATATTGAGAAGTAATACCCAGAAACTCTTCCTTGCATGCATCCAGCAAGTGTAGGCAGATTTGGCATCTGGAGCTCTTCGTGGACTCTGCCGAAGCATCAGTGTGCGCCAGGCCTTTTTTCAAATACAGAAGGGCATTGGCCTCAGGACACAATGCTACCTCTTAGGGCGTAGATGAGCAGGTGCTGGTACAGTAGCACCTGGTGCTTGCTTCAAGTTTCATTATAGTTTCTGTCATTCTTCCTGGGCGTTTGTCCCTGACATACAGTGTAATTGTTTTAGAAACAAAATATATCAGATAGAAGTATATGTGTTAACTTCTCTACCACCAAGAACTATGACTGGGATGAGATTATGCTGTCCTTGAGGATGATTCTTTAAAATTTCATTTTTGTGGTTGGATTTCAAGTAAAATGTGGTGTTGTTGCTGTCAAACCAAAAAAGAAATATTATCTTTGTCACAGCTAGAAAAAATATCTTGAGAAAAATAGTTCTCTTCCCCAAATCCACATAAAAACTCACTTTTTATTTTGTCAAAGGCAGCACAAATAAAATTTCAGTGGTCACTTTGAAGACCATAGATACTTTCATACACATTTGCTAAACATTTTGAATTCTAAATTCATTTTGAATTTTGCTTTCTTTTGCTTTGAGTTGATGAGCTATATGAATTTCTAAAAATGCCAGGAATAATACGTTTTATATCTATTGCTTGTACATACTTACACTGCTTATTTGCCTACCTAGATCACTACTAAAAGTTTATATAACTACAATAGTGATTTTTTTTATATTTAGGTAAGATATTAACACATTGTGGTAAGAAAAAAAATTTCATGGAGTCTATTGTATTGGTTTTGGATGACATTTTCTTATTTGAAAATGCTGGCATTATAAGTAGAATATGTCCTATTTGAAACCCTGAAATAATAAGAAAAATTAAAATTTAAGGGCAATTTTTGCTAAGGGAAAAATGTCATGTATCAGGTAGAAAGATTATTTAAGGACTCTTAAGTACAGAGAATGAATTTAGGGATGTTATTCTGTAAAAATTAATTAGCCAGGTTTGTGCTTAATAAATACTACTTGATGATGATGAAATTAAATGAAAGAAAAATGCCTGACAAAGCTAATTGCAAATGTATGCACTAAGAATATGAAACAGATGTAATTTGACTTGTGTACTTAGGAAATTTGGGATGATCCTTCTGGAAGAAGCAGAATTTCATAATCTACACTATTTAGTAATAACTAAAATAATTTTAACTGTTACAAGCATTATCAGTATTTAAAAAAAAACTGAATATTGCAGGAGAACATAGATAGCTCTAGAATAGCCAGGAACATGGTACCTGATCCTGAATCTCATGTCTCTGTGTTATGGAGTTTTTAACAGCATCCAAC